CGACTTGCAGAGCCTCACAAGAATAACTCTTATCATATCAGACCCCTGTAGGGATAGTGAGACCAAAGGGACAATGTTGCATCTCATAACCACGTCGCACATGAATATCTTCGGCCACAGCATCGTCCGAGTGGTCAGAATAGTGACTGGCTACCTCTTCCGAATCATTTTCTTCAGCAGGCGACAAACAAAACGAGTCCTCTAGAGGATCCTCTAATTCCTCAACCTCATCTTCAAAGCCATCAACAAATGTGTGATTCAGCAGCATTCCACACGTGAACCTGAACGTTGGCTTCCTCACGAGACAACGCTTGATAAAGTCCTTAGCCTCCCTCGATATCCCCTCCGGGATTTCTGGAATTTCCTGTCCTGTCCCTAACTTCTCAAGAATTTCCTCTTTCTTCCCTTCCCACGGCTGCTTTCCGGTCAGCATCTCGAGCACGATGCACCCGACTGCCCAAACATCAGAAGGCGCTTCCTGCACGCTGTCGGGGGACAAATACATGGGCGTGCTGCCCCTCCAGCAGTCGGAGTCGGGCCCGCCTAATTTCCTCTTCTTCCTCGAGTGCTCTTCACCCCTCTTTGCCAGGCCGAAACCCCCGATTTTCGCTGTGAATCGGGCACCATCAATCCCGCTTCCTCCGGCGTCTCTTGGCACCAGTAAAATGTTGTCAGGCTTTAGATCGCAATGAACGTAACCAGCATCGTGAACGTGGCACAAACCTCTGAGAATAGACCGCGCGTGCATCTTCACCTCGACTTCCGGCAGCCCTCCGCCGCCCGATTTGGCGATTCTGTCGGCTAGGGTTCCGCCGGAAGCGTACTCGAGCAGCAGATTGTAAGCGATGGAGCCGTTGTCGCCCCGAGTCGTCTCATCTCCGAAACAGTAGATCACGTAGGGGCTCGCTCCCAGGTTGGCCAGGACCTCCTTCTCCTTCTGCAGCGCGCACGAGCAGGAAGCGTCGGCGGACTTCACGGCCATCTCCGGCGGGAAACAGCTGT